TGTCTAAAATATTTATTTTAGATAATTAATTAGAGGTGGTTAATGACAATTACATTTAACAGACATACCTGTAAAATGGTTAACTACCTATACACCTATTCAATAAAGATTGTATCATTTGATAGTCTCTTGCATAGGTACTTCAATTCTTTAAAATAGTAGGACTGTGACAGAATTAAATCACTTTTCATTGATAGTTCTTAAACTTTGTTGTATCCTAGAGGTAATTTGTCTAACACAGAGGCAAATAACACTTTTAGAAAAGTGTTTTCACGCCTCAAAGTCTCTGCATTTGTCTAGTTTAGATTTGTTATTTACTATATTTTCCAACAATATTCAGTAATGGTAAGAAACAAAAGGGTAAGAGATCTTAAGAATGTGATAATATGGATATAACATATAGTGAGCGTGATAATGTATATAGTTTTGTCAAGGATAGTGAAGAAGCACGGAACTTCCCCGGACCGAGCTGACCTGATGAGCTCGGCTTGATGGCGGAAAGAGCGCGTCCTAAGCCTGAAAGAAAGACAAGAAGGTGAACTGGCAGGGACCCTGAGGTTGTCCCCGAGGGCACTCCGACGGTCAAGTTAGTTTTCCGGTGAGTAGGGTTCACGGGAAGTAAACAGTCGAGAGTGGTTGTCCAGTAAATTAGTGAGCGTACCATGCACAGTCGTTGTGTGTTACTGTTTATACCTGCTGAGGAGTCCGACCTCCGTACGTTTCGGGACTTGCCCTGGATAGCTCCTCATCCCGCGCTGAGGGGGATTCTCCCCGCCCTCTGCGGGGTAGCTCTCGGGGGCCCCGCGGAGCCCTAGCCGTCGTACGACCTGGGCTGGTTCCCCATGGGCCCGGAGTCCAAGCCCAGCTCAGATCGCCCTGGGCTGCCGCGTGTACAGGCCCAGGACGGGGCCTCTGCACTAGCCCCCTAGATTAGGTCAGGCTCCCAGGCAGACCTGATCTACTCCCTTGCCACGTGGAAGCCCATCATCGCACTGCTCTGCCGCGGTCACCTCCGGTGCAGTGCTGACATTGGGAAGTGGCGTCCGCGTCCTTTCAGTTGTCGCGTCCCCTCGGTCTTCGTACCGCTATTAAATGTGTTCACATGGGACGGTTCAAATTCAAGCAACCGTTTTCCCCCCATTTGGCCCCCTATAAATGGGCATTCCCAGACTTTCCCTAACTCTATTTGCCATTTTTCGCTTCCTTCGTGCATTTTTCAATTTTCGGCAACAAGACTTCCGGCTTCCGGCTTCCAGCGCCCAAATTCCGGCGACTTCTCCATCCCTTTCCTCACTCCGATCACCAGTAAGTCCTTTCCCCTCTTCTTTCGCATTTCCTTTCCTCCTTTTGCCACCCCCTACATTTTATGTCGGGTCACTCCGACGTCACTTCCACCGCATCCCAGACTCCGGTCCGTCGTATAGCCACCAGAATCTTCATTTCCTCTTCGTCCTCGTCTTCATCTTCATCTTCATCTTCATCTTCACCATCTTCTTCTCCTTCCTCATCTTCTGCTTCTAACCCCAATTTTTCCATTCCTGACTTGCTTGAGCCCATCGACATCATGAGCTCTCCGTCTACCCATTCTCCTTCTGCCCGACTCCTGGAGGAGGCGGCCGAGCTCGATGCCTTCATCGAGCACCAAGCTACTTCTGTCCCCTCCCCCAAGTCCCCACATAACTCCCCTGGCGGAGCCCAGGAGGGAGCGGGGGAGGACAGAGACTCCTCCGAGGGGACTCCTGCTGCCGAGCAGGGGGATGATCCTGAGTTCAACTACGGTCACCCCGACCGGGAGGAGACCACCATCTTGCCCGGGGCAGTGGCCGAGCTGGCCGCGTCATTTTCTATTCCTCCGGCTTTCGAGCCACGAGTTGCCGGGCCCCACGACCGAGCTTGCCGACCTCCCCCAGACTTTGTAACCGTTTACAAAGAGCAACTGGTCGCGGGGCTCCGTCTCCCCATTCCTCCGGTCCTGGCCGAGATCCTGAGCTACTGGGGGCTCAAGATCACCCAGGTCCACCCTAACTCGATCAGGATCATCATCGGATTCCTGATCTACTGCCAGATCTGCTTCATCCCCTATTCTCTCTCTCTCTTCCGTGCTACCTTCGCCCTCAAGGCTTCTCTTCCTGGGTGGTACTACTTCTGCCGCCGCTCCACCAACAATCGCGGCGGGAAGGGCGCCCAGGATCTCCTCTACGGGGTCCCCTCTTCCGTGAAGAACTGGAAGGGGGACTTCTTTTTCGTTTAAACCACCCACTTTTCCCCCAACACGTGGAAGGTTGGGGGGTCGGGGACGACCCCTATCCAGAGGACCTGGACCCAGAGGCCTTCGGCCAGCTGCTGGGCTCTCCGACGAAGCTGTACGCAGCCAAGTTTTCCACTGAGCAGATTTCCGTAGCCGGGCTGTTGGGGAAGCTGTCCGGGTCCCCCGGAGGGGTGGAGTTCTCCCCCACCGACCGAGATACCTGTAATACTGCTCCTGTTCCCTTGTTATCTGTTTCCTTGTTATCTGTTTCTCTGACCCGTAGCACTAATTCGTTGGTGTTCTCTGCAGTGAAGAGGCTCTCCAGGCTATTGGGCGCGCCAACCGAGGAGGTCGCCTCCACCACACAGCCTGAGGCGGCGAAGAAGGCCCCTGAGGCCTCTGCGACTCCTGGGGGGCAGCTCGGTCCCCCAGAAGGAGGCCTCTCAAGCTCAGTCCCCCTCCAAGCAGGTCCCCGGCAAGAAGAAGGCAACGGGACCGAAGAGGGGGCGAGAAGACGAGCCTTCCCAGCCCGGGAAGAAACCTGCGCAGGGCCAGGCCCAGCGCCCCCTCCAGCTGACATCTGGGGGCCCTGTCCACCTGGGAGTAGGCTCCGCGGAGGAGCACGCCCAAGAGAGCGCCCCCCGAGCTTGTGGCATTACCGCCACGTGGCCCCCACGAAGCCGGGACAGGCCCCCTCGATGCACGACCCCCGGCGCTTCTGCCCGTCCTGGGAGCTCTCCATCAATGACCGAGCCCAGTTCCCCGAGGTGACTCGCGAGCTGGTCACGGGCTCAGTCCTTCCACGCGATAAGAAGTGGATGGAGCTGGCCAGCCCGTCCCAACTCCAGGACATGTGCTACACCGCCCAGGCCCAAGTAAGACCTCTCCCCTTTTAGGCCCCTTGGGTCCCTGTTTTTCTTCCTCTTTTTTTTTTCTTTTTGTTCCTCTTTTTTTCCAGATGGGGTTAGTGTTATGCTAACTCTTACTCTTATTTCTTTAGGCCAACGCCGCCGGTGCTGCCCTGGTGACCCGCTTCTCCGAGCTGTCTCCCGACTTGGAAAAGATGCAAAAGAAGAATCGGGAGGCAGAGCAGAAGCTGGCCAAGGCCCTTAAGGAGGTAGACTCCCTTAAGGCCAAGCTGGGCAAGGCTGAAAAGGGGCTGGAGGACTCCCAGGTCCAGCTCACCTCCACCCGGTCCGAGCTGGACCAAGAGAATAAGGGCGTGGCGAAGCTGAAGGAGGAGCACGCCATTGAGCTCTCCGGCACCGTCAGCCGGGAGCGCAAGAAGGCTGTCCGGGACTTCATCTCCTCCGATCAGTTTGCCGAGGACGTGGCCTGCCTCAACCAGCCCATCTTCCAGATCGGCGCCACGCGGACCCTGGACAAGGTTAAGGGCCTCAACCCACCCGGCTTCAACTTGGCGGATTTCAAGGATTACAATCCTGCGGCCGAGGAGAAGCTGGATTGGCTCTTCGACGGGTACCGCAATGGGCATGCCCTGAAGGATCTGGTGGGAAGGGACGATGTGGGGGCCGAGCTGGCGGATCTCCCCCTGGAGGAGGAGGAGACTTTTGGCAGGGCTTCCGGGAAGGAGCCTGTGGCCTAAGGCAGCGGCCACTCCAGAAACCCTTTCCGTCTCCTTATAAGGATGTGACCATGCTCCAGTTGAAAATGCTCTTGAAGGTCCATCTTCCTTATAAGGATGTGACCATGCTCCAGTTGAAAATGCTCTAGAAGGTCCACCCGAAACGGAAAGGCCCCCCGGATCCTTTTTAACAGCCTTCTCCACCCGGTGCACCTTCAGCTCCTACCTCTCAACATGCTTAAGGTGTACCTTCAACTCCCACCTCCAAGCAGGTCGCCAGCAAGAAGTAGCTAGGTCCCCCTTTCCTTGTGTAGCTCGATAGGCTTTGTAATAGATAGGTTGGAAGTTTTGTAATAGACAGGCTGGAAGTTTTGTAATAGATAGGCTTTGAATGCATATATGAAATTCGAAGGAGATTTCCTTGCAATTTCTTCCTGCACCCCCCTGCAACAACCAAAGCCAGGTGCCGACCTCCTGGGTTGAGCACCCAACGCATATCCCCGTTAATCTAACAACTAAATCATTAGAGGGAACCAGGTTGTCGAAACCCTGTGCCGACCTCCCGGGTCGAGCACCACGCCGTCCTACCAGGGCAACGTGCCAGCCTCTAGGGGCTGGGCACCAAATCTTTAAGGGTTCTTCCCGCTGACCTCCTGGGTCGAGCGTCGAACCTCCTGGTGTTCGTGCCGACCTCTTGGGTCGAGCGTCGAACCTTGAATCCCATCAGACCAAAAATAGTCCGCTCCATACCGACCACTCGTGGCCGAGCGTCGTGCCCTCAAACTCACCAGCTTTAACCCTTGCCGACCTCTTGGGATCGAGCATTCACCTGAAAGTTTTAATCAGTGCCGACCTCTCAGGGTCGAGCATCGAACCTCGCAATGGAGCCCGCCGACCTCCTGGGGTCGAGCGTTGAATTTTCAGAATCCTTCAAAGCTCTCCAGTCGTGCCGACCTCCTGGGGTCGAACACTCCCGCATCCATTACTAACCCCTAGCCCCCCACTAGAACATTTAGTGAGGGAGCGCTAAGTGTGCTAGTGTAAGATTCAAACTCAAAAGACAAACAAGTACAAATGAAATGGAAACATGAAAGTCGAGCCTTTATTGAATGATGAAACTGAAATTCGAATTCCAACGAATCAGACAACCGAAAATCCTGGTCTAACCTACGCTACAAACAGTCGCAGATTGGAGAAGTGCCAGGTGCGGGGTACCTCTGATCCATCCACTTTCGCGAGTTTGCAGTACCCAGCTCGGCTTGCCTCTAAGACCTTGTACGGCCCTTCCCAATTTGGATCAAGCTTGTTGGAGCCATGTGCCCGGCTGATCGAGTTCTTCCTTAGGACATGGTCCCCTGGCTGGTACTGTATGGTCCTCACTTTGGCGTTATGATAGCGGGCGAGCTGACCTTTGTACTTAGCCATTCGTACCGCCGCTTCCTCACGCTTAACCTCCAGCGTGTCCAAGTTGTATTTCAGCTCTTCCTCGTTGGTTATCGCAACGAAGTTCTGCGAGGGGAGACCAATCTCCGCGGGTACCACCGCCTCTATTCCGTAAGTCAGAGTGAATGGGGTCTCGTTAATTGCCGTCCTGGGCGTAGTGCAGTAAGCCCAGAGGACACTAGGAAGTTCATCCAGCTAGTTAGATTGGGCTAGCTCCAGTCTAGTCTTTAGCCCCTGCAGGATGGTTCGGTTAACATTCTCCACCTGACCGTTGGCCTGGGGGTGTCCAACCGAGGTGAAGTGCTGGTTAATCCCTAGCTTGGCGCACCAGCTTTTGAAGGTACCTTCAGCAAACTGTCGCCCGTTATCGGATATCAAGACATGCGGAATTCCAAAGCGGCAGACTACGTTTTTCCAGAAGAACTTCTGTATTGCCTTCCAGGAGATAGTGGCCAGGGGTTCAACTTCCATCCATCTCGTGAAATAGTCGATGGCTACCACGAGATGTTCGTACCTGTCCGGAGCTCGGGGGAAGGGACCCAGGAGGTCTATCCCCCACTGGACGAAAGGCCAAGGACTGTGGATGGGGACCATCTCCCGGGTGGGCTGGTGGCGCAGTGGGGCGTGCACCTGGCAAGCTCGGCATTTCTGAACCAGTTCTGCGGCATCTCGGAAGACGGAGGGCCAATAGTAGCCCAAGAGAATGCACTTTTTGGCCAATACCCGGGACCCTACATGTGCCGCACATATCCCTTCGTGGATTTCGCGAAGGACGTAATCACCCTCCTCGGGAGTCACGCACATTAGCCAGGGAGATAAGTATGATCTCCTATAGAGGGTTCCCCCGGCGTAGGCGTACTTGGCAGCTCTGAGCTGGATCCGGCGGGCCTCGATTTTGTTCTCAGGGAGGGCACCCGAGCTGAGAAAGTTTACGAGAGGAGTCATCCAGGTGGCCGAGCTGTCTATAGCCAGGACCCGGACCTGATCTATACTTTTCTGCTTTACAACCTCAACCAGAACTTCCTTGTTCAAGTGTGCAAACGAGGAGGATGCTAGCTTTGACAGGGCGTTTGCACGCTTGTTTTGCGATCTCGGCACCCGCTCGATTTCGAATGTATCAAACAGGGCTGTCGCCTCCTGCACTTTGGCCAGATACTTCTTCATGACCTCCTCCTTGGCCTCGTATTCCCCGCGAACTTGGAGGACAACGAGCTGAGAGTCGCTCCGGACTTTGATCGCGGTAATACCCATCTGGTGGGCTATCCGCAACCCTGTCAATAGGGCCTCATACTCAGCCTCATTGTTAGACGCGCGGAAGTCAAACCGGAGAGCATAAGTCAGCTCTTCCCCTGTTAGCGAGATGAGCAGCAGACCTGCCCCGCTTCCCTCCTTGCTCGAAGCCCCGTCCACGAATAGTACCCAAGGCTCTTCTGGCTCGGCCTCCTCGGGCAGAGAGCTAGGCTCAGTTGTGGACAGGCTGGCTCCTTCAGCGAGGAAGTCCGCCAGGGCCTGAGCCTTGATAGCTGTTCGAGGCTGGTAGCCGATGTCATGCTCGGCCAGCTCGACGGCCCACTTGGTCATCCTGCCCGAGACTTCGGGCTTGGTGAGTATCTGCCGTAGGGGCTGGCCGGTCATGACGACGATGCTGTGGGTCTGGAAATAAGGTCGGAGTTTTCGGGCAGCATGCACCAGGGCGAGGACCAGTTTCTCGGCCGGCGTGTACCGCGTGTCTGGACCTTGCAAAGCGCGGCTAACGTAATATATTGGCCTCTGAGCCCCCCTGTCTTCCCGCACCAAAACCGCGCTAACGGCCTCGTTACAGACGGACAAGTACAGGAACAAGATTTCTCCCTGTTCCGGGGCGGTCAGGGTGGGTAGCTCGACCAAATAAGCCTTTAGGTCGGTAAAGGCCTTCCCGCATTCCTCGGTCCACTGGAAGTCCTTAGGCGCCTTCAGGACTCGGAAGAAGGGGAGCCTCCTCACCGCGGACCGTGAGAGGATCCTATTCAGGGCGGCCATCCTTCCCGTGAGTCGCTGGACCTCCTTCACATTCCGTGTAGGGGCCATGTCCATGATGGCCTGGAGTTTTTCGGGATTGGCCCGGATTCCTTCTCGGGAGACCAAGAAACCGAGGAACCGGCCCGACCTAACTCCGAAGGTGCACTTCTTCGGGTTCAACCGCATCCGGCTTTCCCAGAGGATGTTCAAGATCTCCCTCAGGTCGGGGACGAGCTGGGGTCCTGCTCGGCTCTTGACGATCATGTCGTCCACGTAAACCTCCATGTTCCTGCCGATCTGGTTCTGGAACAGTTTATTGACCAAACGCTGGTAAGTAGCTCCAGCGTTCTTCAGCCCGAACGGCATCGTCCGGTAGCAGTAGGTCCCTTCCTCGGTGATGAACGAGGTTTTCTCCCGATCCTCCTCAGCCATCTCTATCTGGTGGTATCTCTTGAAAGCATCCAGGAAACACAAAACGTCAAAACCAACAGTAGCATCTAATAACCTGTCGATCCTTGGTAGGGGGAAGCAGTCCTTCGGGCAGGCTTTATTGAGATCTGTAAAGTCCACGCACATCCTCCAGGACTGGTCCTCCTTCTTTACCAGGACGGGGTTGGCTAGCCAGGTCGGGTAGTAGACTTTCATGATGATTTTGGACTCCAGCAGCTTACTGACCTCATTCCTGATCACCTCATTTCTCTCTGGGACGAAGTTCCTCTTCTTCTGCTTCACCGGCTTAAAGCGGGGGTCTATGTTGGGCTAATTGATCCGAATATTGGTGTATAAAAAAAAAGTCAGACACTTGTGGGTCTGACAGGTTCGACGTATAAATCTATGGGTGCCGGGCTGACACAGCCCGGCACCTGACACCAAAAATTTTTTTTTTTTTTATAGTTGACACATGGGTGCCGGGCTGTGTCAGCCCGGCACCTGACAAAAACTGCAAAAGCTGGCTGCCGGGCACTCTCTGCCCGGCAGCCAGTGAAATTGTTTAAAAAAAAAAATTCGGCCAGGCTGAAATTTTACACTTGAGTAGCTCCCGTGAATTTTAGCCAGTGTTTTGCTTCAGATTTGCCCCTTTTGGCAGGCTTGTGGACAAAACTAGCTGGGGCTTGCAGCTGCCCGTGAAGCAAAAAAGCTGAATCAGGCTAATAACTGGACAATACCGACTATGCTCCATTAGACTTTAGCAGGTCGTGAAACAATAATTGTGTGCTACCGGTGGTTTTTTTTTTTTTTTTTTGAATGAAAACTTTGTAATCTAGCCGTCCAAACGGACGGCTAGATTTGACCTAATGCTCTATATATGCATTAGACGAAACTTCCTCATCGTCCGCACCTCTCACTTTCTCAATTTATCTCTCACTTTCTCAGTTTATATTTCTAACTTTTCTCTCAGTCGGAGTCTCTCTCTCTTTCTCAGTGTCTCACACTTTCACACGAGCACTTCACTTTACATTTTGCAGAGACACTTTCACACGAGCACCTGACTTTACATTTTGCAGAGTTGGGCGTAGGCAAAGAACTGTCCTGTGGTCCAAAGCGTGAGTGTTTGTTGGCTTAGTCCTCCTTATTTAACAAATGATTATTACCTTGTTTGGCAGTAGAATTGGCTTGTGGTCCTGTTGGTGTTTCTAATAATTACTTTATTCTTATGCAGAATTGGCATCAGGCGCTTGGTGCCGTGTTTTTGTTAATTGCCGTGCTGATTAATTGCGGTGCTTCTGTTAAGGTGGCCGGACTCATTATTCACGGTGCTTCCGAGGCAATCGGTTTTTTGGATTCAAAAAAGGTTAGTGATTTGTATTATATAAAAGTTGTTATAATTTGTCACTTTATGTTAGTGAATTGTTGATAAATATTTTATGTTATTGTTATAATATGTTGTTAATTAAATATTTAATTTATTGTTGAAGCAATTGTAAACAGATAATGTAATTTACGTATGTTTGCTAATATTAGTTAGTGAAGCACGGTACACGCTTAGTTGAATTAGTTTAGTGATTGAATTAGTTTAAGTAGATTAATTAGTTGTTTAAATTTGTTTAATAAATGTATTTAAAGTGATTGATTAAATGAATGTAAATCTATAATAAATGTAGTACATAAAATTGGAATCATTAGCATAGTTTAATATCGAAATTAGTATTATTGGTTCAATGCAATTCACTTTATTATGCAAGTTAGTTGATAATTAGTCCACGGTATTTAGTATATGATTAGTTTAATTAGTTTTGTGATTTAATTAGATTAATTAGTTGCTTTTTAATTAGTTGAAAGAATTAAATTTAATAGGTTCGATTAAATGAATTTAGATGTATTTGTCGAGGCATGTATTGAGTTTTGCTTATGATAGCTATTTAGTGGGGATAATTTAAGTATTTGAAATAATTGCTACATTTAATACATTAAATGCATAAATATAATGTAATTAGGTTAGCTTTATTTCAAAATTAGGGGTATTAGTTTAATGCAATTCACTTTGTTGCGCAAGTTAGTTGATAATTAGCTTGTGCTATTTAGTATCTGATTAGATTAAGTAGTTTTGTGGTTTAATTAGTTAAATTAGGAACTCTCACTCTTTTGTAATTAATTAATTTTAAGAGGTCGATTAAATGAACTTAGATTTATTTGTCGAGGCATGTATTGAGTTTTGATTATGATAGCTATTTAGTGGGGATAATTTAAGTATTTGAAATAATTGCTACATTTAATACATTAAATGCATAAACATAATGTAATTAGCATAAAATCATTTTAAAATAGGGTTTTTAATATTAGTAAGATATTTGATTAGAATGGTTATTTAATTGACCCAATATGAAATGTAGGTGCATGATAGACTTAGCATAAGGTAAAATTTTTATAACTAAATGTAGTAATTAAGGTGGTAAATTAGGTTTACTTTGTTATTTATTAAATGATACGTTTATTTGTTATAAATGGTTGAATTATTTAATTATAATGCATTTTTTGTTGTTATTTGTTATATTACTGGTTATTATTTGTTACAATTATGGACTCATAATTATTTATTTATTTGTTATAAATTATACATATTTGATTCGATCAATTAATTGATTATTCAAATAAGCTTATCAATGCGATTTTACAATGTGGATGATTCCACTCGTCCGTAATAGGTATAACATGTCAAGTGATAATTGCCTGGTGATACAATTATATTGGGGAGGAAAAATTATATACAAAAAGGGGTCAATTTCATATGATCCTCCTATACCGAAAGATGCGTTGTTCCTGACAGAGGTGGTGGGTTATGATGAATTGGTAGACAGAATATACACTAGTATGGGTTTAGATCGGAACAGCTATAAGATTAGTTTGATATATCGGAGTTGTCTCCAAAATGGCAAGTTTGGTGCAATGCCTTTGGTAAATGACAATGGAGTTGCTGGTCTGTACTACTTACAATCTGGTAGTAGACTTGCAACCGAAATATATGTGGAGGTCGAGAAGCTATTGGGTTTAGAAGAACATGGTACCGATGGTTTACAAATTATAAGTGGTAATCTTGAGCGAGGCGGTAGCAGTTCCGAACATATATCTTTAATCCAGCCAGTTGGCCATTTTGAGAGTCAAATGACCCAACTAGCTGGAGCAGATGTCGAACAAAGGCATAGAGGGCGAAGAAGGGGTACTGGTCGGCAGACGAATAATGATCCTCCATGTACAGGTGCTCGATCGATAATTCACACCTCAACCATTCATTCTCGAGGTGCGAATATTGAATCGGCACCAATGTTTGATACACAGCCATCTACTGACGATCAGTTTGTAGATGTTGACATGGACTCCGAACCGGAGCCCAATCTTAGTGGTTCCGATGATGAGAACCACGAACATGGTACTGACAGTCAAGCAGGGCATCTAGAGGGCACATCTATGGCCCATGATGACATGGATCATGGTGCTCCTTGGAGAAATAGTGAGGGTCCACAACTGCGTTATGAATCTGGTGTTGATGCTGCATTGAATTTTGACCCCCTTGATGCTGGGCGAGTGGAGAAGTTAAGAATGTGGAATGAACACACCAGAGATTTAGAATTGGGCCTCCTTTTTGAATCAAAGGAGCATGTCCAACGAGCTGTGAAGTTGTGGTCCATCAAGGAGAACAGGGAGTTCAGAGTTCGTGAGAGCACGCCAACGACTTGGTATGTCCGTTGTCGGGCTCGTAACTCCGTCCCCCCTTGTAATTGGCAGCTTCGTGCAACCTTACGGAGCTCGCACAACATGTGGATGATTGTCACACTTGCTGACGCACATACTTGCGTCCGTGTTTGCCATAGTAACGATCACCGTGGATTGAGTAGTGACATAATTGCCGAGTACATTATTCCCCATATTATGAATGGTCCGGTGTACAAAATCAAGGAAATTCAGGCATCGGTGAAACAAGAGTTTCATTGCGATGTGTCATATAAGAAGGCTTGGTACGCTAGACGTCGTGCCATTGATATATTATATGGGGACTGGCCGACATCCATATCGCAACTGCCGACATATATTGAGGAGTTACAACAGTCGAATCCAGGGACGGTAGTTGTGTGGGATCATCATCCATTAAGTGCCCCCTTTGCAATAATCTTTGATTATATATTTTGGGCATTTGCTCCAGCCATCCAAGCTTTCCGTTATCTAAAACCGGTGATATGCGTGGATGGTACCTTTTTAAAAGGGCCTTATCGAGGAAAACTTCTTGTCGCCATAGGGTTTGATGCTAACAATTCAATGTTTCCCTTGGCATATGCCTTAGTTGATGAGGAGAATAATCGGAGCTGGTCTTGGTTCATGAGACTGTTACGCATTCACGTGTGTGGTGAAGTGCAAAATATATGTATTATTTCTGATCGTCACCACGGCATTATAAACGCAATGCGTACACTCGAAGAGTGGCAGGAGCCATTAGGGGTGCACCGATTCTGTTTGATTCATATTCGGAGCAATTTCACACAAAAATTCAAGAATGAGAGGTAAATTGTCTCCGAACCCTTAAATATTTTTTCATCGCACCCTAACATACTAAATATATATTAAACTTATTCTGACGATATTTTATCACGCCTGGCAGACTTAAAAGCCTGATGTACGCTGCTGGTGTGGCAAATCAGCCGCGCAAGTATGAGGATATCATGAATGTGATTTACTCCATGAATACGGAGGCGTACACATGGCTAACGGGTGGATCAGTTCGACCCGAGCAATGGGCTCTGTGCAAAGATGGGGGATATCGTTGGGGGCACATATCCACAAATATGGCCGAATGTTTCAACAATTTATTGAGGGACGCTCGATTGCTTCCAATTACTGCATGTATACAGTTCACATTCAACCAAACAGTTGACCTGTTTGTCAAAAATCACAAGGTGGCATGGAATCAAGTATACGCGCTCCCAAAAAAATGTTGGGGTCAATATGTAAAAAATGAAAAAAAAGGGAGGGCACATGCAGTTCAAGTGTTCGATCACCAGAGAGGCATTTACTGTATCACAACTGCTAGGAGGCAAAGCCGACAAGGAGGTCATGCCCAGACTGTCGACATTGGAAGTCGCACCTGTACATGTGGAAAATGGAGAGAACTACGCTTCCCATGTTCACATGCTATGGCAGCGTGTTATAGGTGTGGTATTAGTCCAATGACGCTTGTCGCTCATGAACATACGTTTCCCGCTTATCAAGCTACATTCAGTGGTTCTTTTCAGCCCCTACGGGATCAAAAATATTGGATCTCGGCTGAATTAAAGCTGAATGTCAATGGAGATCGGTTGAAACAAAAGATGCCCGGACCATTGAGAACTGCTAGGATCAGAAATCAAATGGATAGAAGATGCCATGATGCACCACGCCGATGCAGTAACTGCTTACAGCCGGGTCACACTGCCCCTAATTGTCCATATGCCGGTTATTTTCATAAATAACTTGAGATGTCTCAGTTCTGGTAGACGGTTGTACTAATAAGTAACTGGATTTTGATATTTGATAGTATTAAATGCATAAACTTTTGATGTATTATCTATTGTGAACTAGTAGTTGGTCGTGATAAATATTAAACTCTGGATGTATTGTGGTTGTGATGCATTTATTAAAGTGTTAAAATTTGGATGTATTATTTTTTATGTTATTTGTATCTGAAAGCAGGATTTAAAATGGAGCGATGGGCCA